CAATGTGGGTTAGAGTTTCTTCAAAAGGATAATACCTGCTGTCTGCCTGCCCATTTGGGTGGAACAGGTACTGGTGCTTGGAACTCTTGTTCTGGTTCCTGTAGCTGTTGCCTCTTCCTTGATGGCTTCTTCCTGAGGAATTGAATCCCTGCCCCCCCTAGAAGGGTATCTTCCTCCACCACGACCACTTCTTCCTTGGAATCTCATGGTCTTGTTGGTGTGGGAATGCACTCTTGTGCTTGCTTGTTCTTTGGAACTAGCTTGTTCTCGTGGAACTGTTGTGTGGATGCTCCTGCCGGAAGGATCTCACACTGAATAGCACTGCGTCGTGACTATTCTGCTTCTGAAAAGCTTGCTTGTTGGCTGGATAGCCTTCTTCTGTGCACTCTTGGTGTACTGGCTGAATAGCCTCAGTCTAGTTGACCACTCACGGAATTCCAGAGGAATTCGTGGTGTTCTTCTGTGTCCATTGGATGGACCTTTTCGTGGCTCAGGGTAGTAGCGAACTCCTCTGTAGCCTCTTGTATGCCTCTGTTCTTCTGCAGATGGCTTGTGTATGCTTAGATGAGTACACTGTGTGAGTTTCAATAGCTGGAAAAGTTCTTGCGTGAAGATTTGGTTCCTCGAGTCGTTACACGTGACACGAGCGCTGGTTGAATCAAATCAACCTATCTCGATCAGTTTTTGGAGTTAGAAGCATGCACTGATACCCAGAGTTGCAGCTAGAGGTCCTCTATCGATTGATGTATAGTACCTTTGGCTTGTCAGGATCTATCTTGATCCCCGTTCGATGGCTTCTGCTCGTTGTGATGTGACGTATCGAACTCCCGTTTTTCGCGCGATTAAAGATATCTCACTGGATTTCCTTGCTTCCAGCACGTAGTCTGTGTAGCTTGATCTCCTTTATCACCTGTTGCGCGTTGATCTTTCCAGTTCCAGCCGGAAATTGTTAGACGATCGGCAATGGGATTTTTCAGTCTTGCTTACCGCGCGGAGTTGTCAATTCCTCTGTTAAAGGTGTTTGCCTATAGGGGATGGGCAAATCTTGCAATAACCCTGTACTGTAATGGAGTGTGACTCGCCAAAATCAATTAGAAAGACGAAATTCGTATTTCTTCTGGAAGATAAATTTAATTAGATTGCATTGGATTTGATTGCATTGAATTGGATTGAATTGGATTCCAAATAGTACTGTTATTTTTATAGTAAATTGTAATTCAATGCAATCCAATCTAATCCAATGTAATCCAATCAACACTGAGGAATTTATGCTCAGTCTCTAACCAACTTATTAATGAAGCATTTATTTAAGCCTTTTCTACCAAAGCTACACAAAAACTAGTGACATAGACAAACACGCAGGAGTAAGATTTGATGAACACAAACCACAATACTACTATTTTACTATAGGTCTGTATCATGGATTGTAAATATATTATATTATTCCTCTTTCAGATTATGCCTCGGAACGCCTTCAGAGAATGGACATGTGTCAAGAACTATTGAAACGTACACTATTACTATAAGATTTCATCAATGCAGGATTCGAAATTTTGGCTTATATCTTCGAGGGCGCCCTTACTAACGCGTGTGCAGGATAAAGAATGTCCTATTCTAACTATGTACAATAAAGACATAAGCCAAGTAATTCGAATACTGCATAACCGTGCGATTGCACCCCTTAGAACAAGTTACTATAGATATTGATGTACGAATCTACAAAGGTGTGCAGTCACGCTTGTTTCAAATGTCTACTGTTTTACTATACGAATTGTCTCTGTGCAGGATTCGTGTTCCGGTTGGTGATTCGATGCATGTTTCAAAGGTCCCCTTTACTTAAGCCTGTGCAGGAATTTTACTGGGTAACAGGAGATATAAGGTCCATAGTTCGAATCCTGCATAGCAACGTTTTTGCACCCGTAGTATCTTTTACTATACTTTATGCTGTACGAATCTACCTGGGAGTGCAGTCACGAATTCTCGAAATGATGTCTTTTTACTTATTTATCTATATGCCTGTGCAGGATACACGAATGTCTTGTTCTGTAGTATTCTTTACTATAAAGAGTACTTTACAGATCTAACAAATCACGATTCGGCTATGGTGGTGAAAAGGAATTTGATACCATTTATGCAAACTGTGGGAATATATAGTAAAATAGTACGATTGTGCTTTGCCAACACAAAATGGTACTCTATCTTGCTGCTACCTAGCTCCTAGCTAGCTGGGTACTAGTAGCCAGGTTTCCTCCGCTTCCTGTTTCTTTATCTCTAACCCTTGTACTTTAATAAAATAATTTTATTACAAAAATTCATGCTCCTCAGTGGCTCCCCCTAGGGTCGTTAAATCCAATAGAGAAAAACAGCCAAAGTAAAAGATTGGCTTAGTGCACACAATTTGTACAAAAATGCTCTAACAAATTCAACACAGAGCTATGGGCAAGTTTGCCCATCCCCATACCGATAGTGTGGCTATAGAGCAATTCTGCATACCTCTGCTCTGTTGCAGGTGTTAACTCACTTGCTTTGACTTGGTTTACCTTGATATCAATCTCGACATCGGTAGTAGTAACTCGAGATGGCCTTTTGCTTTACAGTGTGTTTGTCTAGCTAAAGCCTAGCACTGCAGCTTATTGAGGGGTAAGTTGGTTTTGGTTTAAGCTGTAAAGCAAAAGTGAGGATTTTCTGGTGGTGCATAGCAATCTTGTATTAATTAGATATAAGGACCCCCGCAACACTTTAGACCTAAAACTCCCTTGGTTCCTTGCATCATGAATATGCATGTGAACCGGACTAGATGTTTTTAATATACGAGTCAATAATAACAGAGGTATCAGGAATATTTCCTCCAACATTGACCATTCATGAAGTACTTGCAGAAGACACAATCCAGAATGTGTCCAGTGATGAGAGGTTTGTTGGCGAGGTTGATGGGCAGCGCAGTGCGTTCATCCAGCTGAGCCTGCAGGATCCCATGCTCATTCCCTTTTGGGGACTTCGCGAGTAGACGGTGAATGACCGGAAGGTGCGCGTCATTGGCGATGTTGCAGAAGTTGTGGACACGAGTGGCCATGGCGAATCCAAATTTTTCAGTGAAGGTTTTGATGCTCTTCTCACGGTCATATTGAAGTTGCTGTTCGACTGTAGCCTCGAGCGTGTTGCGCAAGTCTGTGATCCCCGCATTGAATGTCGCGTTGGAGAGACTGGAACTTACGGCGCCAAGCGCAGCTAGGTGGGGGGAGAGCACCTGATTTATACTTTGCTGGAGAGTGTTGGCACTAATGGGAGCAACCACGTTGGCGGCGGCATTGCAGGTGGATGTGTATCCTCCTCCAACAAGGGTGCAACAGGCGCAGAACCATTGAACCACGGGGGCGATGCCCGCCTGTCGCGCGGCATCGGCGTGTGTGAGTTCAGGGGTAAGGACTTCCGCACAGAACTGGGGGAGACTGTACTGCCCTTCGGGACGGGCAGCGAGAACACACTTGACGGATACGGAAAACATTTGTGTCTGCGACTCCTCCCCCGCCCACATGGGGACCACTGTGGAGCACAGGAGTAGCGGCAGCGAACATGGTTCCGCCGTCAATGATGGTCATGTTGTGACAGGTGACGTCACCTGTATGTTAGAAAGCTGACATAGGAAAAGGACTACCATGATCGCACTTCGAAGGTCGTTCCCTACCACGATAGCATAGAGATTGTCATAAGGCGAGGATTGGCTCGGGTTTACGGGGTAAACGTAGAGAGAGTGACCAATGTAGATATTCGTTTCATCATCTTGTAGGACGAGCCAAAGGTGACAGGCGAACGAACACAGAGTTGGCTCATGGCGCGGGTGACAACATCACAATTGGCTCCGGCGGTGCCTCCCACAACAGCGAGGATATCGGTGTAATCAGGGAGGGGCACTTCCCATGCCGCTGCACGAGAGACGAAGTCCGAGAAATTAGAGCTGGCCATGGTGAGGGTCGAAAAGATACGAAACCTGATGCCGGCGCAAGAGATTAATCTAATCTAGGTTCTTGCTTTTGGCGTCAGCTGAATGAAGAATTGTGAGCTGACAGAGAGACAACCTTCTTGCGATCGGCAGTTCAATGGCTGGTCTTGGCTAGGTCGCTGGCTTTAGTGATTCATGGTTGCAGCTATCGATCTTGCCAAATGTGTTCTTGGCGTCGTTGCCTTAAGAGTAATCTTGTTCGAGAGGCATTGAGAAGTTGATGCGGTGCATCATCATGTGGGGTATCCAATTCCAGAACGCAGTTGGTGACCTGCGAGATGTAGAGATGTATTTGAGTTGTAGGTGAGGAGCGTGGGAATTAATTTTGCAAATTGTGAGATGGTCCTCTGGGCAACCATGATTAGGGTCATATTTGCGAGAACCCATGAGGGTTAGAGTTTCCACGCCGTGGAGCGTGGAAACTCGGATGGGGGTTCCCCAGGCCTGCTGCTGCGCGACACAATTCAAACTGTCAAAATCATCTTTTGTTAATTTGCCGAAACCAAAAGAGGTTGACTGTTTTTGATTCAGGTTTAGTCAATTTAATCATCAAAAATGTAAATTGCCTCATTTCCCGATACTCCCTGACATCATGATGATTAACGGGTTTGGTCGACAAGGCATGTTGAGAATTGCTTTGAATGAAGCCATTGGTTTGACTGGAGGTTGCAATCAATTATGAGCTAAAGCAGTTTCTGAACCCGAATGGTGGTTATCATTGGAAATTGCCATTGGGGTATTTTTCTATTTTGGTGGTCCCACAAGGCTAACGAACTCAGAACTTTAGGCTCACTCATGGAACCTGTTTCTGCTGGATACAAGGGTCAATGTTGCAGTTATACTGAGATTAACATCAAATATCAAGTTCCCCCAAATTAGCTGTCAATGCACCTGATGCTCCCTCTGGTTACCTCTCCTCAGTACTTTGATAGATGACACTGATGATGGACATGTACAATATTTATAAAGCCGTGTGATTTTAGTGGCCACAAAAAAACCTTTACTCTACATGTATTTTGTTTTTGGCGGGAAAGTGTATTAAAGCATCATTCAATGCCTTCAGATATCCAAATTCATTAATGTTATCAGGCTCAAGAACAGCTTGTTCATTCCATTCATTCCAAGCAGTAATGAAAAAGAAGTTTTTTTCTATTTCTTTTTGAGGTAGGTTACTCATTGCTTGAAATGAACTTGACAAACCTTGACGAAATTCACCAACAGATCGCAAGATTGGAGTTGCATTAGAGACTCGTGGTCTTCTGTCAAAACCTGTAAATGCCCCCCAATATTGTACAGGGGTGTTTACATCAAAATCAAATGTTGATGCTGTCTTATTTCCAAGTTCCATGCCTGTTCCTGCAGTTGCTGCTGGCCAGAAGTGAAAGGCAGCATCGAGGTTTGCTCTCTCTTCCAACTTTGAAGTTTCCTTATCAATTGAGTAAAAGCTTCCAATCGTATGAATCAAATGTATGCCTGGATAGCCATTTTCTATTGCTAAGCTTTGCCATAAATTTAGCATTGGTGGCAACTGCTTGGAAAGATGTCCCAATCTATAAATAACTAGAACTGGCTTTCCATGTATCAAAATATAATTAGGGTGTCGAAAAAAATTCAGAAGGTATTTAAAGTGGAGAGTCCAATCAGCAATATCTCCATATTCTTGATTTAACAAAACTGTATTATTTGAACTCTTGCCAGACCATCTTTTATTCCATGGTTCATTTGCCCATGAAAGCATGAAAGGCATGTCAGGCTCACCATCAATCAAAATTTCTTCAAGAACTCTAAACATAGCCTTATGGCATATTGGTGCATTCTTTCCAACAAACCAGTAGTGGTAGTATACAAAGCCAGTGATTCCGGCTGATCTAGCCATATTAGCCTGTTTACTTCGAATGTCTTTATTCAACAAATTGTAGTAGCCAAGCCCATTCTTATTGAGGGGTAATGGCTTGCGAATACCTTCCAAGTCCAAAGATCTAAGAAAACTCCATTCTGTAAAACCATCTTTCCAAAAACTAACAAAATATTAAGAAAATGTAAGAAATTTGTACTTTCTTTGATTCTTTTTCAAATACTCAAATTGTCGCTTACCGATCATTTTCGGGAAATATATGATATTGAGGAAAGTAGAGAGCAAAAATCCGTGGTGCAGGTGGAAATTCAGAAATGTTTCTTCCTTGAGCAACAATTTCAGTTGGAATAAGGCGTTCTAGTATGTGTTCTAATGCTTTATTATCAGAATATCCCAATGAAAATTCTTCGTAAAGGTTAACCAAGGTTGAAATGTAGTTGAGTGAACGTAGCACATCCATGCGAACCCAAAAAATTGTTCCTGCAACAATGGTTAAGTTGTTATCATTCAACTTGACATATTCACCTCTATTATTACTGGGAAGAAATAAAACATCATGAACTCTTTTTATAGCTGATATTGTATCATTATCAAATACTTTGGCAAAATCAGTTTTCCCCCTAAGATTATATTTTCTCTTTAGATGAGGAAAAACATTTCTTGGGTCTGTGTAGCTGCTAAAAACTGTTCCTAGTGGGACCACCATGTCCACATTTGCGTTTGACGACAGATGTTTCCAAATGGATATAATATGCTCTGGTGTTCCACAAAGTGACTGTATTGCTCTCTCTCTCCAAATCAAATCTGACTTTGTATGTAATTTAAGAAGAATATCATACTCTTTCTTAGATATCTGAAGTATTTGCCGTAGGAAGGGTTCAACATCGGCGCCTCTGTTCTGTACAAAAATATATTCAATTTGCTTAATTCCTTTCAAATTACTCACACTATACTGAATGTTAGTTAAATCATTCGGTCTTGTATTTTCGTGAAGGGAAATATAAATGTCTATAGCAGTAGACGACAGCTTTGCTGCTGTAGCAATGTTTGTGATGCACGTTAGCATTTCTGGCCACAGATCTGTATTTCCAATTTGAAGAAGCAAAGCAATCTTCAATTTTATGGTTTGTTGGGTATGAATCAATGATTGAAAACTTGTTTTCTCGTTGATAGCTGATACTTGTGTTGCTCGACGTTGGGCTAATTTTAATTCCCACTGTGATGTTATATTGCCAAGGACACTTTGTTTTTCATTGCTTTCTGTCGTTGCAATATCCTCCTTTGTTTCTGTTTTCAAAAGATTTTTAAATGCTAACATTGGGTATTTACTATTTGTATGAATTTCCGTAAACAAATTGAGGATTGAGTTGACACAAAAAATCATGCAGAATGCTAACTTTACTATAGATGAAGCAGAACATCTTCTTTTAATTACTGATTGCAGAGTCTTAATATTTATTCTCATCTTCAATGTTAATTTCTATTGTCTGAAAAAATCAGTTCTATTCCACTATGTTATAATTACAAAGGAAAATTTCAGTTTATTATTCAATATATAATTTACTGCATGTAATGGCCGAGTTTCTTCTTCTAACCCTTCAATAATAGTACATAACTGCTTGCCCCTTCTCTCAGTGGTGAAACCAGTGACTCGGATATCACTACAATGCCATTTTTTGCTCTAGTAGCACAAGTGGCATTAGCAGTTCTTTCTTGCTACAACATTCCGTACTTTAATATCATGGACATCGCAAGCAGACGATAAAAAGATGGATGAAACCAGCAAAAGAGTGCTTTAGCAACAAAGCAATGATCAAGGATCCCCCGGCATTCAAACCGAAGCTAGAAACAACTTCCCGAGCATTCTAACCGAAGTGCAGAAGCAAAAAAAACATTAATGTTAACTTGAACCTCCTTAGAATTAGTGCATATGTTTAATTCTTACATTATTTGTTCCCTACCAAGTCATTTTAGAACCCACCAAGTACTCGACTTACCTTCCCCCTTGTCTGGTCCCATCAGCCAGCCAATGCTACTACTGATAACCCCAGACTGATGAATCTTCGTGAGAGTCAGTAGAAGCTATCAGTAGTAGGTGGCGGCAAGGCATTGAATGGGCTCTGTTTCGGCATCCCGTGTTACCTTTCAAACCCGGAGGCAACTTAACCAACCAAGAGCTAGGAGGAGTGGAGAGATCCGCTTGGTGGAGATCTCCTTCCAGCTCTTATGTTTCTACCACTGACTCTCACAAAGATTCATAGGATTAACATTGTTGCAATAGCACACACAAGAGTGGCTTGCAGTGTGGAAATCTTGAAGAGAGGAAGAAGGACAAAATCGCGATAGGAATCTGCCAATCGAACGAACTCAACTAATACTAAAGTGGTAGTGACCAAACCAAGTGGTCTTCCTACTAACCTGATGGTGCTTGACAAGGTGGTATCACCATCTCCTCGTTGATTGGCTTCGTTTGAGCTGTGGAATAGGGCTGTTCGTCATTGTCAAAGATTTTCGGTGCGGATTATCTCTTTCATGTCTCCAGAGGAATACCACATACCAAAGCGACTTTCGGTTGTGAAACCGGTACCGTACCAAGTGACGTAGGCTTCACACCCCTTTCAAAAGTGCACCAAGGCTTAGATTAGGGTTAGGTTACATTTTACTCAATTCCGTGAATTTGGATCGTTCCGTGGCTCCATACAGGACATTCCAAGGGCAATTCGAAGCAACACGGAGACTCTGTTTTACTGTTTCGAAGGTATTCAAGGATACTAAAAAACAATACTATCTTTATAACGGGTATGGTTCCAAGGGACAAATCGTGCGACAATACCATTGTGTACTGATTAATCTAACGATCTAAGAGATGTAAAGTTTGTATTTCCAAATAAGTGAGCAGTTATTGATTATTTTCTAGAATAAGCCTGCTAGTTGTAAAGCTGTAAAGCTGAATTGTAAGCTGTATCCCGTCGCACTCCCTTACAGCTGAAATGAAGCTGGAGCAAGAAACGATAGGAGAGAGTCCCCAGCAAAGTGCTGAGGTAAATTTCCATCCCATGAGGAGCTTCCGAATGACAGCAAACTGTGGAGCCGGAAGACCCTTAGTGAAAATGTCGGCCCGTTGTTCCAGAGTCGGAATATACTTGGCCACGATGCCCTTCGACTCCCCGATATTGGACCTGAAGAAGTGGTACTTCAATGCCAAAATACTTGTTGCGCGCAGACATTTTGGGAACATTCACAAGAGACAAGCAACCTTGGTTGTCTTCGAACACTGTAGAGCGCACGAGACTGTCAGTAATTACCGGCATATGCAGTTTGCTACCAAATTCTCTTGAGCAAAGCTCGCATAGGAACAGCTCCCTCATTGACATGCTGAAGGCAACATACTCGAGCAGTGGAGCTCAAAGTAATGTCAGTCTGTAGCTTGCTGGACCAGATATAGGGCACCCAAACAAAGTCAAGACAAATCCAGTGCGAGACTTGACGGACACAGGATCCTGATCATCCTCATATCCATACAATCCGGCGAATCAGCATCGACCCAACAATCAAGTCCCTGATCAAGTTTAGGCTAAAACAAATGCCTTTGTCACTTGTGCCAATCAGATCACGAATGATACGTTTGATTGCTTGAGCATTGGAATGCCTGGGATTGTGACTGAATCGTGCACCTGGTGCACACTAAATGTGATGTCTGGGCGAGTGTTTTACGCAATATAAGCAGCATCCCAACTGCAGGTGGTAGCTCCACTTTTCTTCAAATGGGGCCCCCAGTTTGTCAGCTCCGAGAGGATCGGTGGCGGCAGGAAAAGCTTCTTTCTAGCGTCAGACATACCAGTATATTCTATGACTTTATTGATGAGCCCTTTTTGAGTAAGCTCAACATTGTCTCCCTGTCTTTCAAAATTAATGCCGAGGAATCCAAAGATGTCACCTTTTTCTTCCATGTGAGTCATATCCAAGTTTCTGGAGCTGCCCAACATAGGACTCAATCAGATCATGTCTGGACTGAGCCAGATTTGGTCATCACAATAATTTAATACCATGAGTTGATGCTCCTTTTGAATAAACAAACATGGGCTGCCGCCGAGGTTTCGAAACCAAGTTGGATCATCCCGCGACATAGATGCTCATAAAAATTTGGGTGAATCGGTCTGCCCATAGATGGACTTGTCAAGTTTCAAAACACAGTCCTGTCCTTCATATCTTTGGGTCGATAGTATGAGGCAATTCCATGTACAGTGCTGGTCGACAGGCTGAGGCTTTGACAGAAAGCAAGAGTAAAATCAACTTTCTCGATTCCCATCCATGTGCAGCTGCAAGAAGAAGGCCGGTCTAACAGTGGGCCAACCAACAAGTGGAGAGTACGCGACGCCTTCATAAGACTGAAGGTCTCCTCTGCAGCACCATCTTGATTTGAACTTATTTAATTTCCGTCTGGTAACCTCTTAATTCGTTGCACCCATGTTCCAGGACCGCTTTAGGTGTGAGGGCATGAAGAACGTTGTACGATGTGCCAAGTCCCTTTGCCTTCAAGGCTTGCAATTTCTTTGTCCATTGCTGCCCAGAAATGGTCTGCATGTGGTCCCATCAGAGATTCTTCAGAGAGGGAGATCAGGGTCTTTGGAAATTTTGGCCTTGAGAGCCAGTGGGCTTTGAAGAATGCAGGATGAAATGATTCCTGGTGTTGGTCAAAGGTGAATAACCATTCACCTGAATTGCATCATGTGCCCAGAAATGAGTAACTCCAAAGGTCAAAGCTAAAGCACAACTCAACAGGGATGAAGGACGCGCATATGTCTTCAACTTTGGTCCATGTTCAGAATCTCAGGCTTCTTGCTGTGGGCTGTTCTTTGGATTACGACGAGGGGCAGAGATTGGCTCGATGTGGACAACAGTGGTGGGAGTGCTGAAGTGGGAGGCTCCCTTGTCAAGAGAAGGAATTTTGAGGTCTGAATGGTGCGGTCTGGATCTCCCTGTGTGAAACCTGGGGCGTGCTGGAGACGGAGCTTGAAAATGAAATCATTCCCTTTTTGTCTTTGCTCTTGTCATCCTGCCATAATTTTCTCCCATGTCGAAGCTTCTGAAGATGAGATCGGTGCTGGTTGATGGCCTTTTCCTCTGGAGTAAGCCATTCATCTGCTAAGGGAGGTGGAGTGTTCTCATCAAATAGGTCTCAAGCGTTGGAAGATGCACAAGTTGGTCCACAATCTCTCTCTTT